CGGTGACGAGTGTGATAAAATTCTCAAAGAGCTGGAGAATATCGACGACGAGCTGGACGAAACTGGCATCATCTTCGTCACCACAGAGGACATGGGTTTCGCGAAGAAGCAAGGAATCAAGACCTTCCCTACGTTGGCTTTCTTCAGGAACAAAGAACCTTTGATCTTCAAGGGAGATATCGAAGATGAAGACGAGGTTCTTTCGTGGATCACCGATGAAGATACTCTTGAGATCCCTGGAAAGATCGAAGAAGTGAATGCCAAGATGCTAGAGAACATTCTTGAGGAGAACGATTATATCGTTATCTTCTTCTGTTAGTATTCTCAACATTACATTATCTTTAATGCAAACAACATAATTATTGGAAATTAATCAATAATAATTAAAATAAAATAATTAAAATAATTAATCAATAATAATTCAATTTTTTTTAACATTCTACAATAAAAAAGTTATTAAATGAAAAATCGTTTGTATCATGATTTTCTATTCTAGATAAAGAAGGCGATAAGAAGAGCCAAAAAATCCTACAAGAGCTCGAAAATATCGATGACGAGTGCGAAGAGAAAGACATCGATTTTGTAAAAATTTCGGACGAAGGAATCGAGAAGGAGTACGATCTTCCTGGTCTACCAGCATTGGCGTTTTACAGACACAAATTCCGTCAGGTTTACAACGGTGATATGATGCACGAAGAAGCGATTTTGGATTGGATACTGGATCTTCGAACTCAAACCCCGGATGTAATCGAAAACGTTGACCGGAAGACGCTGCAGATATTGATCAATGACGTCGAGCATCTTGCTGTATTCTTTTGTAAGTGTATTCTATATCTTATAATCTCTCATCAAATCTCAATATTTAATTGAATAAAATATATAAATATAATGGAACTCTATTTATTCCAAAAAATTTATAATTTTTAAAATATATCATCATCATTTAATTCTAATATTATTATATAAATACATTTATCTTTTATTAAGATAACATATATTTATATAAATAATAGCTATATTGCATTGAATAAAATTTTTTAAAATTTCACTTATAAATCTAAAACTTACCATTAGAATGATCTTAAAGAATTATTTTGTTATTATTATTTAATATAAATTACAATTATACTGTATATTTTAACTGGTTCTAAACAACGAATGTCGAAAAATTAAGAAGACGACACAGTATATACACGTACTTATATAGAGTATTAATATATTCATTTTTAGAGAATCAATTTTAGAAGGCAAAACAAACACAAATGTATAAAACAAAAAGATCCGTTTAGATTTATTTATTATAATATAATTAATTTTAATTCATATTGAGTGAAATAGGAAAAAACTAAAACAAAATGATCATATTTGTTTCGTCGTCTACTAATTCAATTGCTTACAATTTAACATTTGATTTTTGTATGTCAATTTTTGTATTTGTTTTGACTTTTAAAATTGACTCTCCAAAGATATCGCACGAGATATATTAACACCCTATATATGCTTATAATAGAAATAGATTTTAAATAATTAAGTAAAAAATTTACTTTATAAATAAATTTATAATAATTTATCATAATCATAAATGAAATACACGATTAAATATAAAAATATATGTAATTATTGCATATAGATAATTTTAATTTTATGATACAATTTGACATAAATTTAATACAAAAAAGAAATGTTATATTATTAATAAAAAAAAATACAAGTCAAGATATATCGAGATTGTATTATCTATATCGCATAAATGAAATTTTTAATAATATTATAATTATAAGCTCACGTTATAAATAGAGTTCTACTATTTAGTTCAATATCTTAAGAGACCATTAATTCTAAAGAAGAAAACTTCTTTTAGAAAATAAGATATTTCTTTTGAACAGACGATGATAAATGCGAAACGTGCCCGGAAATCCTCGAAGACCTAGAGACCATCGACGATGATACCGACAAACACGGTATCCAATTCGTTAAGTCAAACGACGCGAAATTAGCCGCTGAAATCGGCGTTTTCGCATTTCCGGCGCTCGTTTATTACGAAACTGGCGTGCCCATCATGTACGACGGTAAGTCTCGATTGTTCAATCCTTGGTTTGTTCGATTATAATCAAGACTCGCGCTCCCTTCGTTCGATCGTCTTTGTTTCTTTTAGTTAGATTTTGTTTTTATTTTTTTCTTCTTTTTTTTCTTTAAATATTTTTTTCTGGTATGATATTTTTTTTTTATTTTATTTATTAATATTATTGAAACAAAGACGCGTAGAGATTTCTGCTTTATATTCCTCGTAGACATCCCTTTTTGCTCTGCATTGTTCTTCTTTCATTGAAGCTCGAAATATTTTATTGTAAATAGTTCACGATATAAAATCAGTTTCAGATTTTATTCGTAATTAAGATTGAGAAACCAGATACTCGATAAATCGATCGATTAATAGAGATCGATTTCAAGAAGATTCATCGCACAGTAAATATTGTTTTTGTTTGAAAAGTAATGATCATTTGAGTACCGTAAAATAAGTAACAATTATAGTAATCTTTTCATTCTTTAAATTAATTAAATATTTTAAATTACTTTATAAATCATAAATATATTTCAGTATATATTGCCGTTATTTAATAAAGTAGTAAGAAGTTATTTTTTTTTGGTACTCAAGCGATTTTTATATAAAATAAATATCTTAAACATGCAACAAACAAATCTTATTGAAATGAAAACGAAAGAAATGCAAGATTAAAAAAAAAAAAAATCAAAAAAAAAAAGGAAGAACAACCGGCTATCTATCCCACAAGGTACCAATAACCTGGCGACCCCCCTCGAAATTTAAACAAAAATCCCTGCAAAACCGAACAAATGAAAAAAATCTCGGTGCACCATGCAACTGAGCTGATCCTGATATGCGTGTGTGCCTTTTGTAGGTAATCTTAAGAACGAGGAGAGAGTTCTGGAATGGCTAATCGAACAGAAAAGTAAGGAGATTTCTAGGACGATGATTATTATTATTGGTGTACTGTTCTTTGTGACGTTAATCTCGGTCGTGACTATACCACCTGGCTACGAGTAATAAATACTCGCGCCATGGTGATCACCCCGATCACTCTGCCACAATCGCAATCCTCATGACCACGTGTTCGCGACAAAAAAAAAAAATAAGAAGCAAAAAAAATTATATCATCGATTACTTGCATATAATATTGACGCTTAAAATATATAATTTCTTCTTAGTATTCTTTTAAAATAATCGATATATATTCGAGCAAGAAGAAACTTAATTGAAGGTTTCGTGAAAAAACAATTCTTGTTCAATCGTATGGTCGATATCTATTACTACATTTCGTGATTTGATCAGATATTAGTTTTTTACGATAATATAATTAGAAATAACACTTTTAGAAGAAGAAAATTTTAATTTGTTGTAAATAATGAAAATCAATCAAATGGCAAATTATCATTCTATCCTTCTGGGAAAAAAATTAAAATTGGCAAGAGTTGTTTTTGTTGTTCGATTCTTTAATTAATGTATACATGCATATACATATAAGCATATATATATGAACATATATATTTTCAATTAGTGTATACGTACATGTATAATATACATATATATGCTTGGTTTAATTTTATATATGCTTAGTTTAATATTTAATTTTATTTTATGTAATTAAATGTATTCTTTAAGCGTTGAAGGGTTTAAGAGATTGAAAGAGGATCGGCGGTGAATGAAATGTATATTCATTGCTCGGTTTGAAGTAAACGAGAAAAGAACAAGAACGAAAAAAAAAAAAAAAAAAAAAAAGAAAGATCTCACAAAGCTCGGTGAAAAACAAAAATAAATTCGATTCATGATCTAGCTTCTAACGATGCGCGCGCGCAAAATCGCTCTGGCCAACTGACCCGTTCACAATGCATTTAAAACCAACACTCATACAATGCGAGCTTCAATTTTGTCTTGAAATCCATTTTCTCTCTGTCTCTCTTTCTATTACTGATTTTTATTTCTTATAAATATCTGATTTATTTTTTTATTTTTTTATCACATGCTCTATCACACCGCCACACTGCAGCAATATTCAATAGCAATCTAGATCGTCTGTTTCGGCGAGAGCGCGGTTTTTCGATTCAAGCGAGGAAAAGGAAAAATATTAAAGCAGAGCGTATAGCTACAATAAATCCTGATCAATCGGTGGTTAATCAAATTTTTCTAAAATCTGAGGCTTTCGAGCACGTTTGTGATGCAAGAGGTCTTTCTTTGACCGCGTTTCCATTGATCTGTTTCGTCGTCTGTCGAGTCGATCGGTATATATATATAAAAAAAAAAGAAAATTACAAAAACTAGAAGACAGCTCTTGATTTGATGATTTTTAATTAAATGAATTAGAAATCGCAAGTAAAGATTTATTAATTCAAAGGAAGAACTGTCTGTTATTTATTTTTGTACTTTTTCCTTTCTTTTTACAAATGTGATCACTGACGACGAAACAGTGCAAGCAGAAAAATTGGAAAAATTTCGACGAATGCACACATTCAAAAAAATACACGCGAACACGCAACATCTTTTTCCAAATGCTACCAAATATATGTAACAATATGTTGCAATCGTTTATACAGGAAACAATATCGTTAACAAATTCATACGTGTTCGTTGTGATATACATAAATAATGTGATCCATTCTAAAATGCATGCATCCCTTGGACCGAGAGGCCGTATCGATCACAAAAAACGTAGGTACACGCTCTCATTTCCGGTCGCGAAGAATGTTATCGATGACCCTGTTAATACGCAGGTAATGATAATGATGATGATGATGATGATGATGATGATGATGATGATGATGATGATAACGATGACGATGATGATGATGATGATGATGATGATGATGAAGACGAAGACGATGATGACGAAGACGACGATGATGACGACAATGACGAAGACGATGACGACGATGATGATGACAATGATAATAATGATGATGATGATGATGATGATGATGATGATGACGACGATGATGACGACAATGAAGAAAAAAATGAGAAATTGAACAAAGCCCTGAAGAATATCCTGGACAAAGGTAAACGTCCAACGACAACCAAGGAGGCCGAAGAGGATTTCACGTGAGAGATCGAAGTGTGACGGGCTTTGTATTGCGCGATATTATAAAAAAAAAAAAACATAAAATAGAAAGCAATAATGCTATGAAATGATATCCCTGCAGAAAACAAAACGTAGAAATATATGTGTATTTTATATTATCAGTAAAGCGATTCGGATATAACAAGTAATCTTGAATGAAACATGGCCGTCCACTCGCCGTTTACGGTCGAGCTGGTGGCCGTAGGGCGTACCTGCATGAAAATTAAAATTATTTTTTGTTATTTTTTTTTTTTTATTCTTCTTTTTTATTCCTTAACTCACTCAATCTGACTCCTTTTTTGTCCCGTTTTTTTTTTTATTCTCCACTTTCTAAAATTTTTGAATTACCCTCATGCATGCCAGCCTTATGACATTTTCCTTCGTCAATGGAGCTACGTGACCAAATACAGTCGCCATTTTGAAAATTGATCGTATCTAATTCGTGCATTTATTAGATTATATACGTTTATCGCTAAGCTTTAGTTTTTATTTTTTATTTGTTTTATTTTCTCTCTCTCTCTTTTTCTCTCTAGGTAAGTAAAATTATTGTTGTTCAAATGGTGGTACCGTAGCTCCAGAAGACCTCGATCGCACTTTTACTACCCAACATAAGAAATAATAACAATTTCTCCAAAGCGAGCCGATGGTTCCTGTTGTAGTTGACAGCTGTCGTCTGCAGCGAGCTCCGAGTCGAAGAAAATCGGACTGGCTTCCGCTTGATAAAGCGGGGAGATAACACGGGAGGGGTTCGTTCGGAATATCTCGCAATTAATATCACCATGAAACATGCCAACAATTCCATTGTTCGCGTGATTTCAACAAATTTCAAAGCACTTCGATTCATTAGCGTGTAAATTGTATAAAAAAGTTTGAAAAAAAAAAAATATATTTAACTATACGTCTCATTGCCATTAAAACGTAGATAAAATGTAGAAATTGAAAAATACAGCAATCAATTTTACTTCTATTTTTAACTTTATTTTCTTTTTTCTTGATGAAAATTTAAATGGAGGCTGGTCCACGCCAAAATGACGTAAAAGAGTCGTCGACTCGCCGCGAGATATTCTCCTCAATGAGAAACATGCACGTTTGGCTTTTGCTGCGCAATTGGGATTGAAGTGACACGTTCTCTCTGCACTAGTTAACGTCAAAATCTCACGAGTCAATCGAATCAATCTTCTCAATGTCTATCTCTATCTGTTTTTCTTCACATCTTTTTTTTTTTTTATCAATATCTTCATCTCTTCATCTTCTATCTGTTTCTCTTTGTTACCTTTCACACTCCTTTCTAAATTGTTTCTTCTTCTTTTTTTATTTTTTCTCTTTTTTTTTTTTTCATCAAATCTACCCTATCCTCATTGACTCGTGAAGGAACAAATCACTCAGCCTTAGGCTAGCCAATTTTTTCTGACCAACTCTTTTTTTTTTCTCTCTCTCTCTTTCTCTCTATGTCTCTTTTCTTTCTTTCTCTCTTTCTGTCTTTCTTTCCGCCATACATCTTTGTCTGGAAACTCTCTTTATCTGACTCGTTGTATGATTTGCTTACTGCAGGCGACGGCTGTTTCTACATCGGCATGGGAGGTAAAAGCGCGAAACCCAAGATTCCCTCCTATGAGCCCTACCAGTGCTGTCCTGCCAAAGTCGCCCACGGCACCAAGGTCGCCAAGGCCACGAAAATCAGTCCGACGACCAAGGACAAGGGCAAAGCTCATGAGAGGTCCGAAAAGCTGGGATTGCCCGGCCTGAAGCCGATTAACAAACTCACCGCGAAGGAAAGCAGAAAAATGGCGACGATTGGGGTTAGCAAATCAAGTGACCAGAAGGCCAAGAAAGGATTCTTCGGAAACGGTAAATATCTCGACTGGCTGTGATTATCGCGAGATTAAATCACTGCCCCCCATACACGACCAGGATCACATTAAGTATCTCAAGACGAAGATTAAGTATCTCATGGAAGATCTATTCGGGCAAGGATGGTAATGTTGAAGAATAATTAAACGAGGAAGAATTAGAAGAAAGAGAAACGTGTATTTTAGTGTGCAGAGATGAAAAGATGACGGAAAGAACGTAGGTTTGATTAAGCGTGATATTAATATACAGTTTCGTTTTCTTTTAGTCGATCATCAAAAATAGGGTAGGGATTTTTGTTATCGATCGAAATTATTGTACACGTAATATCTCATTACGCAAAGAGATCATTTAAGTGTTTTCATCATTTCATTAACATCTGTAAAATTTAGAATTTTAACCATTAACATAATATAATATAAAATATGACGAGGAGAAATATTATGTAACTTGATCGAGTAAAAGTGAAGTATTGAAATTTTTAAGTTATAGATTTCCAATCTGTAAATTGCAAAATAATTCCCCGAAGAGGTTGCAAAATTATTTTTGGAAGATTGCTTGTAAGATGTTCTTTGTCTTATTTCATTTAGTACATTTATCTACATATAAAGTAAAAAAAATTTATGGCCTATCAAATATTTTATATCTATCATAATAGATTTTTAACATCTTCTTCTAATTTTCATTCAATCCATATACATGAATAAAAATAAAATAATTCGTGTAATAAAATTTATCAAAAATATATTTTTATGCAATTATAAAAAGAAAAAAGGATCGCAGGGGATTATTTATACATCTATTATTTTACTTATCTATTATAAAAATGGTTTTTGACAATAGTAATTTTGCAATTAATTACATCAAGATGAAAGGATCATACTACATATGTGCACGAAATGATCGAAAATATCACTTTTGTTCGATCGATTTGGCCGCTCAGTGGTCATCTTTTTATCTCTGCTTGATATTCAAGTATCATGAACGTAATAAAAGAAAATCAATGTCCACGTGTTATGTGGGCAGTGATTTGATCGGCAATGTAAGGAGGACGTAGTTAGATATAGAAACGAAGTGACTGTATGAAGACGGGGGCTGGAAAGAAACGTTAAGTGAGAAAAGGGCCGGCTGACGAAACGTCTTCGTATCTCGGATGCAGGTGTGTCGCGCGGTCCATGAAGAGAATCACGAGCCGCAAGTTCTGGACGAGCAAGACGATCCAAGAAACGTGCCTAGGAAAGCCGGTGGGCTGGCTCCTCGGATTCCTCGAATCGTCGGGATAACAATTCCGCGAGAATCTCTAGTCTTCTAACACATGTTCGATCGGCCATCTTGTAAATATTCTAGAGCGTCCGCGTACCGGATATACAATAGATACGTAACTATTAAAACGATTCAAACGCGACGGAGCTATAATCTCTTAATTCTGCCTTTAATTGGAGATTTATTCCTTTTCTTTTTTTTTTAACGAGTTTTAATTTTTAAAAATGGATCGAATTAAATTAAAGAGGATTTGTTCGATTAGATATTTCGACACGTAATCAGAGATTATTTTTCTTTATAGCTCCGTCACAGATGTGTTTATCAGATCCTTTCCTATTTCCTATTACATTGTGTATGTCTGTCCTTGAAGAACCTTGTAATCGTCGATCGAAAATTCGTGATAATTTAAAACAAAAAAGGTTGCTTACGACGCGACTCATAAAACTATATCATAGGCGTATATATATATTCGTCGACTCCGAAGAGACAAAAATTAAAAAAAAAAGAATAAAAAATATATATATACATATATATATATATATATATACGTATAATTGTGGGAACGAAGAATGTATCTAATTTAGAATGAAAATGAAACGAAAAAAAAAAAAAATAAAAGTAAAAATAATAAAAAAAATTCCGCGATGAGAAAGGATCGTGAGGATACAGTTTTTCTACGTCTCACTGAGAGTTGGGTCGGGGTTGTGGCCTGTTGCAGTTATGGACGGGCTTCCGTACATCATGAAAGTCTAAAGAACGAGGAGAAGGAAGCACGAGGTGGAGGACGAAATGGATCAAAGTGAGAGAGAGAGAGAGAGAAAGAGAAAACCGATGTGTCTAAGGCAAGAAGATGATAATGAGGAAGGAGAATCGAGTAGAAGAGAGCAGGAATCGTCCAAATTCATCGTCTATCGATTTTAGATAGACTGACGAAGAAGAGAGGCAGAAACGTTGAAGAAGAAAAGATCGTAAAAAAAAAAAAAGAAAGAAAAATTTCGTTCTTTCTTGTTGAACAAACTTGTTATCGTCATTTTTTTGATTCGTCATCGATATCTCGAAACATTATCATCATCGATGTAATCATTTATCTCCTCCACGTTCATCGTCACGAATAAATATTTCAAATTTCATCAAGAATTCATGATCGACATCGATCATAGAGGAATCATGCGTCTTGCATCCCTCATTTAACATTTTCTGTAATCCCCCCCCCCAAAAAAAGAGCCATATTTATTTTTCATATAAATGTACTTACCCAAGCATTCACCGCAAAACAATCGTTCTTGTCGGAGCTTTCATGAGAAAGAAAAAAAAAAAAAAAAAAAAATCTGCAAATAGATCAGCGAATCTAAATAATATCATCATTACGCGTCACGTTTGATTCACACAATAAGTATTGTTAAAACATTAAAAAGAAAAATGAACAACAAACTGCACATTGCTTTTCATTTTCGAGAAACATAAGACTTGCTCACTCTATTACTAAAACGATTTTTACTACTACTTAAAAAATGAAAAATCAGAAAAAAAAAATAATAATAATAATAATAAATCCACATGCATTTCTCGTGCAAAAAAAAAGCCTTACATGCGCGTGAATCGAAATGAATGCAATCGATCAAAGATGGCCGCCGTAAACAGACCGGTATAACCATTTTGATCTTCCTGCCATTAATTAATTTTGCGTATCGTTGTTTTATTGTTAATCGTCGCGACGACAAGATACCGCTATTCCATTTGCATTTTTGGTCGGTAACGTTCACGATAGAACGGGGTAGGACTTTCTTTTAGAAGAAATATTTCTTTCTTTCTTTCTTTTTTTCTTTTTTCTTTTTTTTTTTTTTTTTTGGAGAAATATTTTCCGAACGTTCCGTAGTGTTCTATCTAGAGTTCGCGGTATAGGTTGTAGCGACGTATGTATTTTCGTTGAATTAATTAATTTTCACTCACGTTGGTTTTAATCCTGGAACATCTCGCTTATTTATCGTCGATCAAAAAATATATATATATATATATATATATTTGATCATCACGCTTATCACTATCCTCGTAATTCAATTCCAGGGTTGAAACAGACTCTTAATTATTATAATTGTTTAATCAATCTGCAGATCTCTCAAGAGTATGTTTATGTCAAGTGCAATGCGAGCGACATAGCAAATTTGGTAGCCAATGGCGATCGTACATTGATCCTGAATAAACGACTGCTACTTTTCTTGATCTCATTCCAGAGACTCGAGGATTATAATTATTTATCTCGTTTCAGATTCTGCGCCTATGCGAATTGTGGCAGATTGTGATTCTGCCGATTTAGAGAATTATTTCTATCTTTTGATCTTCGTGAACCCTTTTTTCTCTCCACTATTCTTTTTCCTTCTTTTTCTCTTGTGTATGATAGTTTTACATTTATATAATTATAATTTACACTTACACGCGGCCAAACATCTCGACTTTGTACATACGTATCTTCGATTCTATGATCGTTCTCGGATCATTTCTTCGGATAAAACATATGATATATCGATCACGCTATTCTTCCCCTCCCTTCCCTATTTACTGATCGTGGCTGCGACATAAACATACCCTCTTTTGAAATTCCTCAACAATAAAACGTCGAGGAACACGTGCGTTTCTTGTTACACTAGCTATTACTAATCGCTTAATCGCTTATTGGGCCGCACAAGCGAGCACTAAACAATATATCAAAATCAAAAAAAAAAAAAAAAAAAAAAAGGATAAATAGTTAATGAAGAATCTCCCCATAAAAAAGAAAAAAAAAAGATATGGAGTACGAAACATCGAGAATTCTTGTTCTTTCTTCTCCCTGGATGAAAGCCAGGCAGAGGAAAATCGGATGGAAAACGCTCACCTTATTTATTTATTTATTTATTTATTTATTTATTTATACAATTATCTTATTATTTGTTGATTTCTGTACTCATTGTTGTTTTCGACCGAAAATCAATTAAATGCCGATGATAATTTGTACAAAATCTACGTTGATACAAAGATAAATCTCGCGTGGACACTGTACTTTTGTCGCGATCACCGATTCTCTAGCGCGATAATTAAACGATTAATTCGGTAATCATTGATCAAAACTTAATAATTGAATTTTGTAAATGCAAAATATAAAATAATTAATGTAATGATAAAATTGCATCGATTGATTATTTATCAAATGTCTATTCGTATAATAGAGATATAATATATTTAATAATCGCGCTGCATCTGTGATCGCGATTATCAGGCATGGAATTATTTTAATGCTCGTTAAACGTTTGCGCAAATTTCTGCCGTACGGCATCCTCGTTAATCACATAAGAGCAACATGTACGATAATAAAACTCGATAATAAATATATTTCCTAGTACCAATTAGTATCCTTTTGTATTTTGCTTCGCCCGTTACTGCTAATGGTAGATATAGCGTCCTTGCCCTTGTAATTCATCCAGACTAGCTAGAAATAGATTTTTATCTCCATTAAATGAAAGTTAAAAATGAAAGTTGCGTACGACTCGTGAACGTTCGAATTAAATTGAATGGAACTGATATTTCGTTTCATTCTGACGTTTTGTATTTCTCGTGTATTTTTTCCCGTTTGTTTCTGTTCATTAGCTTGTCAGAGACACTCATGATAAAACTCTCGAATCGAAACACATATCACGATACTCTTGCTACAAATACTCGACCGAGGATTTTCAATGTATTATCCTTCGTAAATTTTTTAAATGGCAGATTTAGAAAAAAAAGAAATCGCTTAACAATTTTTTAATTTTTAAAATTTAAGAAAGAAATTCTTACGTAAATGGAACGATCTATAATTTATCCATGAACATTTTATTTTTGATATCTCTGACGTCGATCGTTGAACTATGACATGATTTGTAAGAGGGTAAGTTTTCTTGTACATCTAGAAATCTCCAAAACAGCCATTCCAGATCTTTGAAATAAATAGAATCTAGAAATCTATTAGTTTTTTTTTTCTTCTTTTTTTTTTTTTTTTTTGACGAAACATTTCGATTAACCATCTCGTTACGAAAGGGATGATAGTACATCGAACAACCTTGTGATAACTTAGGTAATCTGCTAGACGAGAACGAAGTGCTCGATTGGATGGTGAAGCAGAAGACGGACGAGAGTATTGAAGAGATCGATCGTGACACCCTGAACAAATATATCGAGACGAAAGAATTCCTGGCTGTCGTTTTCTGTAAGATATAGTCAATCTTCTTAAAAAAAAAAAAAAAAAAAAAAAAAAAAGAATTGAACGGAAATTCGTTTCATAATTTAATAAGTTCAATAATTCGTAAAACGAATCTGTTTCGAATTCAATTGGTAAGTAAAAATTATTATACGCTCTTAAAACTGAATCGAATAATACCATTGATAAATCTAATATCGTAAAAAATTTCTAAAAATTTATATTCTTAATTACTATTTAATTATTTATCTTTCTTGAATTTTTCACAAATTATAATTTGAGCAAAGTTCAATTAAATCCATCTCTTAAGTGTTCGAACAATAGTTCAATATTACATTCTCTCTAAATAATCAAGAAATTTTGAAATCACATCCCTTATTTAATCCTTCTTCGATAAGAATCAAATACGAACACTTAAGGGATAGATGTCGCATCGTCTCGTCTACGAGAAAAAAAAAAAAAAAAAGAAATCTCGATCTCATAGACAAAGAGGAAGATCCAGAAAGTCCTAGAGTGCTTAGGCACATCGAGTTGATCGACGACGAGGCTGCTGAATACGGTATAAAAATCGTCAGGATGAAGGATCGATTAATGGCGAAGAAGTACGGGTTCCGGAATCCACCCGGTATCACGTACTTCCGCAAAGGGAAGAATATTAATTATGACGGAGATATAGACGACGAAGAGGAAATCCTCGATTGGCTGACCAATCCTGAGAACATGGAGCTGACCGATCACATCGAACGGATCAATAAGAAGATGTTTCACAAAATACGGCAAACCACTGATTATTTGGCGGTGTTCTTTTGTGAGTATTCGAGTATTTAAAAAGGAATTTTTAACAAAATTTCAAAATCAATATTATCGTGGCAAAGATAATAAAGAGTCGAAACTAGACTGCTCGGTTAATTAAATTATATTTAGAGAAATATATTTTAATTAAGGCATTTCCAATAACGAAAAATATTTTACAAGTTTCTATTTTATCTATCTAACATGACAAATAAAAACATCGAATAAAAACATATATAACAGTTAAAAAAATAAGATTTTCGAGCATATCGAACGCGATGACGCGCATATGTTTAGACAGCAACGACTGCAAACAGTGTAGCAGGGTATTGTCAGAGATCGAGCACATCGATGACGAGGCGGATAGCGCGGGAATAAAGTTCGTCAAAATCGACGATAAGCAACTCTCCAAACAATATGGCGTCTTCGCATTGCCCGCAATATTGTTCTTTAAGATGTCCTCGAAGGAGCCAGTTATTTACGCAGGTATATAAATTAGATCAATTCAAATTCAAATGATCTATTGATTAATTTATTATTAATTTCGTAATAATATGCGTTCAAAGGCGATTTGTACGATGAAGATCAGATATTGCAATGGTTATTGACGCAAAAAGATCCATCCGGAGAGGTAATCGAAGATTTGGAGGGAGAAGAACTTTTACATTTGATAAGAGAATCGGAATCATTAGCAGTGTACTTCTGTAAGTCTGACAGTCCTTCAACCTCGGCCAACTGCCAAGCAGGAATGTATCTCTAGCCTGTTGCACGGCACTGTATTTCTAATATTTTCATATTTTCTTTTTTACATTTCACAATTCATTCCGCTCTTCTTCTTTTATGAATCATAAAAAATTCAATTGTAAATATTCCCATTTAAATATCGATATAATTCAAATCTCTTTTCATTGATAAAAATTTAATCGATTCATTTCGATCATTTAAACTGTAATGATCGATAATATTACTATTGTACATATGTATATATTGAAATATTTTGAGCGGATTTACCTAATTATTATATCATATCCTGTTTCCTTCCACGCTACACGTTTTTCTCTGCTAAAGAGAATAACAGCTGATCATAGCCAGCAACTTATCTGCTATATATATTAATTCCTGCTCTGGAAACAAAGGCATTGAATTTTTGAAGCAACAAATTTCTTGTCCGACGAGAATAAAACGTGGCTCGAAACTAAACTATGTACATATGTTACGCGAACTCTTTTTGATCTCGTAATTTGTTTGCAATTTGTGCTTAATGTGTCGCAACGATTAACCAAAATTTTTTTTTTTTTTTTTCTATTTTAAATTGTCCGTCGTTTGTCCTTGTTCTACGTATACTTTTTTTCATTTTAATCGTTGCTACTTGGCCTGTCTTTTTTCTTTTTCTTCTTCTTCTTCTTTTTCTTTTCTTTCTATCCTTTTTTTTTTTATCTGTCTTCTTGTCCGTCCATACGTGCTGTACACGTTGTCTGCTAATGCCGCAGGGAACAGAACGCTTTGTGACTTGTGTCAGGCAAAATATCAGCGGAAGCAGACCCGCCACAAGGAGCGAAGGATCGTCGAACACGATGCAGCCGAGGAACTCGATGGTACACGTGAACACAGAAAAAAAGAACAATTGAGTTGATGAACCAATTTTTTTCTTTACCGTTCTACCGTTGATTTAGAATGTGTTCCAGATAGTTCATCTCCGTGTGCACTACCCAGAAACACGAGCACTACTCACATCAATATAATATATTTTTGTCCATGTTTTTGAGAATATTTTTTAACCAAATATTTTTAGTTTCAATTTTAAAATAATGCATATTTATGAATATATCTTTTTCAGAGGATTACTCTATTATTTTTTATTCGCAACAAAATTTTAATTCGTTAATTTTGAACGTGTGAATATATATATAAACTTTTTTTATATATATATATATATTTTTTTTTTTCATATTTACATAACACTGCTCACACTGCCAATCATAGGTGTACCTGCACGTTTAGAGAGCATGCACAGAAAAAAATCTTAGAGCCAGACTCTGCAGAAATGCCATCTCATAGTTGCCCTCCGCTGACCAGCATGCCAATCGATTTTATTTATCCGTATTTGGATAAATAGTAGTGATATTTTTACAAGCTGCGAATTCAATCTGTTCATTAAAAATCATTCGTAATTTTTTGATAGTATTAGTCTTCCCTATAGTTAAGGCCGAAAAAAACCGCTTTTTTTAGATTATCGTCCAATAATTAGATCATCACCTAGATCATCATAGATCGTTGTCTTTCGACTAGAGATCTATCTTTCATCGAATTCGTGAATTTTATAACGATACAGTTTCTCTTTAGATGCCGAAGATTGCGAGCAATGCATGGGTATTCTCGAAGAATTGGAGAATATTGACGATGATTGCGACAGACATGGTATTACATTCATAAAGACACAAGTGAGTATAAATATAAATGATAAATAATTTACATGGAATTATTCTATTCGAGGTACTGATAGATTTTGAATGAAAATTTTTTTTAGGATTTTAAGGTGGCAGAAGATTATGGGGTCACGGATTTTCCTGTACTGGTTTATTTTGAGAACCAAATACCAAATGTGTTCGAAGGTTCATTATCTTTTTGTTAATTTGATATTACTTGTTTATTTGTTTTCACGAATTATATTCTCTCTCTCTCTATATATATATATATATTTTCGTACAGGAGATTTAAAAGTGGAAGAAGAAGTTCTACAATGGTTAATTACTCAGAAAACAGAGGATCGAATAGAATTAATTACCAGAATGATGTTAGAAATGTCTGTTGAAGAGACTCAATATCTCGCCGTGTATTTTTGTAAGTTTTGATATTGTATATGTATTATAATTGTATTTAAATGTAATATATAAAAAGGATTAAATCGCATTGTCGCGTTGTAGATAAACTAAACTGCCATATATGCGACGAGATTTTGGAAGGATTAGAGAAAATCGATGACGAATGCGACGTGTTCGGTATTCATCTGGTAAAAATTCAGGATCCTCAGCTAGCTAAGCGGTATTCCATTAAAACTTTCCCTGCCCTGGTGTACTTCAGAAACGGCAATCCTCTTTTATTCGAAGGTTTCTAAATTTTCCAATCATAATAGAATATCAATTTCGTATTATTCAATAATCGAATATACAAGATTATTACGTATTTAAATTAATATATATGAAAATGTTTACAATTGGAATTTAATTTATTTTTTTTATAATTCTATTACGTAATAAATATCCATATTTGAAAATCGTTTAATTTTTAATTATTTCGCAAATATATTCACAAATTTCGTTTTTTGATTATTCAAAAAATTATTCGGCTTATTCGAAAGAATTTATCATCCAATTAATTTGAATAATCGATGTTCTACTGTATTATTTCACAATTATTAATAGATTCGTTATCTAATAATTTTTGATTACATCTATCAGGTGATTTGCAAAATGAGGAATCAGTTCTCGAATGGTTGATCGATGACGATAACCGAGAACTGGCTGATGAAATTGAATCTGTGAACGAGAGGATGTTGGAAAGACTTCTCGAAGAATCTCCATTCTTAGCTGTATTTTTTTGTAAGCTTTAAAAAAAATCTTTCTAATTTTAATCAATTTAATTTCTCATTTTCATTTTCTAAATTGATCATTTTTTTATATTAGACGATGAAGACTGTCCCGAATGTGACGAAATTATGGAAGCTTTGGAGAAAATTGATGGGGAAGCAGATTTATTTGGTATCGATTTCGTGAAAGTTCTCAGCACAGAAGCTGCAGAGAAATTTGGGATTCTTAACGTTCCATCACTTGTTTATTTCCGTAAAAAGACACCTCTGATTTACGATGGCGATCTAACACAAGAAGACAAAATTCTTCAATGGCTGACCTCTCAAGATGTTTTCGAAATTAAAAACGAAATCGAAGAAGTTAATAAAAAAATGTTGGATAAATTGTTAGACGAGAATGAATTTCTTGCTGTATTTTTCTGTAAGTATCTTTAAAAAAAATTATTAAATTAACGTTAAAATATTATTTAAATCAAATAAATAATAATTATTGATTCTAGATGAACACAATAATAAAGAAAGCGAAGAAGTGAATGAAAAATTGGAGAATATCGATGGAGAAACGGATAATTTGGATATCACGTTCGTAAAAATGGCAGACACAAGATACGCCAGGAAATGGGGTGTCACCAAGCTTCCTGCCATCGTCTATTTCCGCAAAAGATTCCCCAGTATCTACCGAGGTAAAATTCCCCTTATTATTTAGATTACTTTATCTGATTAAAAATTAAAATTTTTTTTAAATAATTATTCTTCTAAATTATTTATTTATTTATTTTCTTAGGTGATTTACACAAAGAACAAGACGTACTAGAGTGGTTACGCAAGAATAGATATCGCCAACCAGAATTGAACATCTATATGTATATGCTAATCGCGATCACCGTCCTATTCGCCATGTATACCGGTTTCTTATTGTCGTGTTTCCGGTCAGAACCAGCGACGCCTGCGTCGCACCCTAAGCAAGCGTGATAGAAAAAAAAAAGAACGAGAGAGAGAGAAAGAGAGAAAGAGAGAGAAAGAAAAAACGAAAGAATGTAGATTTATGGATTGTTGCTGCGCGAATGTGCATTGTTGTTATTGTTGATCCGACTTGCTTTATGTAAGATTAAATGGCAACCGTTCGTCCGGAACGAACGACTCGTACCAAGCCTCGACGATTCTAGAGGATGACGATGAAACCTGTCTATGTATTTTTTTTCTTTTGTTTAGAAGAAATAATTTAAAAAAAACAAATATGTATTATTTGCGTAATAGGTTCAAGTTATCTATGAATTTCGTGAGCGCGTGGTATGCTTGCTTAACGTGGACCAAATCCATCGATTTTCTATAGGAGATTTAGACCTCTGTCAAATTGAAGAAGACGCGAATGTGTTGCGAGCGTACACGGAGCGATATTTTCGCGGGAGTTTATTCAACATTATTCCAAATAAATTACCATTATTAGCGTATAAACTAAAAATTTGTAATTATATACGTTTGCCATATTGTCTCTTATTCGTAATTTAAAATATCGTGCGACGGTATTATATTTTTATTGTATTGCTTTATAACGATAGAGATATATTGTATCGTATTCCATTCACTTTGTATTAACTTTTGCTGATTCGATGATTTTTGCTGCGTTTTTAGAGTGAATAAAACTGATCGACACATGTGTACATTGTTATTTGTTGTTTTCGTGGAATGTTACTAGCAATCAATCGACAAACAATTTGTGATTTCCTTTTTTTTATTTTCTTCTTTTTTTCTTTTTTTCTTAGGTGTTCTTGTAACTTTAATTGATATGGTTAGTATTGACAGTGGTCTTGTTCTTTGACTCGAGTAATTATCTTTGGTCCACGTATTATTAAATATTCATAAGATTATCGATAATCTGTGTATTCTCTCGAATCCACTGATGATGAATTATCACCAACATTTATTGAATAAAACGACATGATGATATACGCGAAATGAGTGAATATAATCTATCGATATTCGTATTTTCAAAAAAAGGCAAATAATGATAATATGATTATGAGGAATAAAGAGCAAAATCCTTGGACCAATTTCAAAGAGCTTAAAATGCTAATTTATCTACCAATTGTAAATAATGTAATAGTATGAATGATGCATTATATAAAAAAAGAAGATGACTTTTCTTGTTATTTTACATTTCATATTTTCCTTTTCTTTTAATATGTTTTTTTTTTTTTCTACAAAAGATTATTTATGAAATTCTCAAACTAAATTTCAAATTTCCCGCTATTATTTAAAGTTTCACCAGAATTGTATCTAACTTCAAGTTTAATGTTTCGATCTCTGAAGTGCACTATGAATGAGAATTTCTTTACCTAGTGGAAGAATGGCGGTTCCGTAAGTACTTCGCACAATTTTAATGAAATCTAAAAACATCAATAATTAATATTATTTTAATATTTTTAAAATATGTTATTATTAATTCTTTTTTGATTTTACATTATATTTTTATTATAGTTTTTATGTTTTTCACGAAAATTTTTACTTAATGCTAACAAATCATACCATTAACCAACATGAAATATAATATAATTTACATTTTATCATAATATGCCAAAAATATTATATTTTTAATGAAAGATAAATTCTTATCTTATACTAAATCAAATTTCTACGTGTATTATTCAAAATAATCCTTTTCCTCAAAATAACATAACCTAATTTAGATTCTGTACTATACAATTTATTTTTATATAAATGATATAATTAATAATTTTGTACTTACATAGGAAGAAAGAAAGTGAGCCTGCAGCAAAAAAGCTACCGGCAGTGCCGGAATCAGTTCTTAAAAGAAGAAAGACTCGTGAAGCAGTACGAGCTGCACGTCTTCAAATATCGATTAAGGTACTTATTAAATATTTAATTAATATATTTTTTAAAAATGTTATTTTTAATTACTTAAATTTTTGAAAATAATTAAAATGATTACAATAATTATTTTAATTTTAGCAACGTGCAAATCGTTATAAGAAAAGGAAAGCAATCTTCAAAAGAGCTGAAAAATATGTAAAAGAATATAGGACAAAAGAAAGAGATGAAATCAGATTAATGAGACAAGCTAAAAATCGTGGCAATTATTATATACCTGGAGAAGCACGTCTTGCATTTGTTATTCGTATTCGGGGGTAAATATAATCGATCTTTTATTAAAATTATGCTTCAAATTTATACAACATTATCTATTATTATTTCAGTGTAAATCAAGTTGCTCCTAAAGTACGTAAGGTACTTCAATTATTCCGTCTCAAGCAAATTAATAATGGTGTATTTGTGAAACTGAATAAGGCAACAATCAACATGCTTCGTATTGTTGAACCTTATATTACATGGGGATATCCAAATTTAAAATCAGTTAGAGAATTGATCTATAAGAGAGGATTTGCTAAAATAAATAGACAACGTATTCCTATCACAAGTAACTCCATCATTGAAAAGAAACTTGGTTAGTACTATAGTTTATTGCATTTGACAAATCCATGGGAGTTGCATTGTATTTATCTGTTCCCTTCCATCTTGTCAAAAAATAATAGAATCTTTGAAAAACTTTTTCGTATATTTTACGTTCAAGTTTGCGACGGTTCTTACATTTTTAAATTAAATATTTTTCTTTTCTTTAATATTTAATATTTTTTATCAATATTTATTGTGATAATTATGTGAAATATATTTATATAATATATATAAATTATTACAGGACGCTCTGGTATTATTTGCATAGAAGACTTAATCCATGAAATATTCACAGTTGGATCAAAATTCAAATTTGCAAGTAATTTCCTATGGCCATTCAAGGTATATAAATTTTTAATTATTCGAATATCGACGTAGGCATGATTATAAGAATATATTGTTCTATAAATCTCCTATTACGTCGTAAAGCAATACGAGTTTCTCTTTATTGTACGCATGTAATTTTGCGTTCATTAGTCAAACTCAAACATTTAATTAACTATTTAAATATCTACATAATATTTATATATATTTTTTTTATATTAATAATTTTAATCTTTTTTATTTTTAGCTCAATACACCCAATGGTGGTTGGCGTAAGAAGACTAACCATTATGTTGAAGGTGGTGATTTTGGTAATCGTGAAGACAAAATCAATGAACTTCTCAGGAGGATGGTTTAAATTTATAAAAATCATGATAAATAAAAGTTTAAATAAAACATATTGCATTATATTTTATTTTATCTATACATTCACTATATATTTATTTAATAATAATTAAATAATATTTATTTAATAATAATAATTTAATAATAATAATAATAATACAAATTTACATAAATTACATACATTATATGAAATTTAAATATTTCAATTTATAAATAATAAATTTTAATACTATTTTTAAAACTATTTCAAATATTGATAATTTTACAATTATATAAAAACTTATTATATTATATTAATGAAAATAAATATGTATATAAAATTGCATAAAAATGACATGTATAATGTCTATTATCTATTAATATAATCAATCACTATAATACTCCGATAATATAAATAATTATAAAAATACTCTTCTTTGAACACCGGAATGTAACATAACGCATGCGCAAGTTACTACATACATATATCGAATAATCTATCGTGCGGTACGATTCGTGCCGTGCCCCATGCCTTGTTACAATGTGAGAATGGTGTGTAAAGGTGAAGTGTACTGGTTCGAATCATGTTTCACAGATTTTTAGATTAATTATTATATTTTTCAATTGAATATTATTTTTAATGTAGAAAAAATTCTTTAGTAAATTTTGGTAAGTATTTATAAAAAAAATGAAAAATCATTAAATATTAAAATTATGCGACAAAGTATTATACATATATACTATTTAACCTTATTTTGTTATTAATACGAAAGTATGATTAGTATTAACTTTATATACTTTAATTATTTTTAATTAGTTTTAATAATATTTTAATAACATTCTACATGATTGTCTAAGAAATGACAGTTTTTATAGGATTTTAGAATAGAGATAATTTATTTCATCATCAAATGTTCTATGTTCAAATCCAACTCGTATAAATTTTTTTTTAATAAATTATAGAAGTTTTTTTTTGGAATTTATTAAATATTAAAATGTTCTAAAAAAATAATAAAATATACGTGAAATTTTAAATTAAATATAAAATTATAAAATAATTAAAAAAATTAATTAAATATCCCCTATAAAATATATCATGTATATTTTACATAAATTAATTTTTATTTAGATTATATTAATAATGAGTAAAAAGACTGTGAATATTGACACTTCATCTGATAATATGAATTCATCTATTAATAAATCCAATCAATCATCTAATAATACAAAAATGTTTATCCTTCCTCCAAATGTATTACAAAATATTTGTCTTAGTAACTCAATAGAAAAAGGTAAATTAATCAATTATTGTCATTATTTAGATTTATAATTTAATTTAATTTATAATTTAAATTTAATATATATTAATTATATATATAATTTAATTTTTTATTATAGGTGAAAGTATAATGTCTGCTTTAGAATTTATAAAAAAAGATAATAATATAAATGCTATCAAAATTCAAGAACATAAAAATCTTGAGATTTCTACATCTATTGCAAATTTAAATTCAAATATTGTAATAAAACCAACTACACTTATAAAAATTAATAAAAATAATTCAGCAGATAATGCAGATAATGAAAGCTTAAAAAATACCACAGAAGTGCCTAAAATTAAGACAAATGAAGAAAAGTCTGTTTCTAAAGCAAATCGTACAAAACAGATGCAAAATCTTCATAATAATATAAAAAAAGAAAAAGACAGCACAAAAGTAAGTAACTCAACGAATGTTTCAGAAAATCAAAATACATTAGAGAAAGTAAAATCTACTGCTGAAAACTCAAAAAATAATCAAACTACCTCAAAGGATGTACCAAAGTCTCAAAGAACAAATACAAGATTTGAACAAAATACTAATGAAAAATATTTAAATACAAATTTAGAAAAAAATAAGACAGAAAATATATATGAAATGGATGAAAATTTACTTGATAAATCTGAATGTATTCATCACAACAAAAAAACTAAATTTGATGGTTATATTATAGAATATAAAAATGAATGCACAAAAGAAACAACAACTTCAGATAAAAAAAGAAAAAATATTCCTAATAAGGATTTAAAACAAGCAATAAATTCCGATACTTCTTTATCAAATAGAATTGAAACAAATGAGAAAAAAGTTTTTAATGAAAAATATGTGAAACAAAAAATTGAAGATAAAAATAATGAAAAAATTATAACTACATTTGATTCATATGTTTCTTCTATTTCTATCACACCAGCTATAACAAAAAATTCACTGCCTTTGAATTCCAGCAACAATTCTGGAAATCATTCTAATATTACAAGTAATGTAAAGCATTTGCAAAACAATAAAAATATAATAAATAAAAAAAATTTGAAAGAAAAACATTTGAAAAATGTAGAGCTAAATGATAATAATTGTAGTAATGAAGTACAAATAAAATCAATAAATACCTCTGTAACTGAATGTATTCCTGTAATAAACGAAAGCTTAAAATCATGTGTAAAATCAGAAAATCTAAATGTTAAAAATACAGGTATTAATGAAAATAGAATAAATTTGTCACTCATAACACCAGATATTTCATTAAACAAAACAAATTTTAATATAGAATCAATAAGTCAAAATGATAATAGTCAAAATTTAATAAATACACCCCCAATAAGAAAAAGAGGAAGACCTAAAAAAATTATATTTACATCTGAAAAAACTATGGACATTTCAAATAAATTAGAAGAAAACTTAAAAGATTCACAAAAACTTAATGATGTTTCTATTCCAGAAACAGTAATTCATAATAGGAGACATAATAAACATTTATATAATATTAATAATAATGATGGCTTAAATAATAATAATAGTACTAAAGATAACATTCCAATTTCAATTATTGTTGGAAAAAGAAATAAAATAACAAGTACATCTTTAGATAAAGCAGAAGAAGAAGAAGAAGAAGAAGAAATTGCAAATAATAAAAGAGGAAGAGGGAGAGGAAGAGGAAAAGAAAGAAAAAGAATAGAAAGAGAAGAAAAAAGAGAAGGAACAAAAGGAAAAGAGGAAGAAGAAAGAGGAGGAGAAAGAGACAGAGGAAGTAGCAGAGGAAGAGGTAGAGGTAGAAGTAGAGGTAGAGGTAGAGGTAGAGGTAGAGGTAGAGGCAGAGGCAGAGCATCATCTCATTCTACATTGGACACTGAATATATACAAACGTTAAAGGGACCAGAAACTATTATGGAAGAAATAAAAAAAGAAAATTCAGATGAAATGAATGCTATTGTTCATACATCAGAAGTAAATTTTATATAAAATATTAAAATATATGTATATTTATTTTATTTTTTGTATTATTTCTAATTATATAAATATATATTTATTAATTTAGGTAGATTTAGTAAGTTGTGCCAAATGTGAAATAGATATGTTAAAAAATAAATGGGATTCACATAATTTACTTCATCATAACAATATGAGTTGGATAAAGGGTGATAAACCTATGGTAAATATGAAACTAAAAGCTTTAGTAAATTTATTATTCTAATATTTTATTAAAAAATTCTATATTTCAGGATTATGAAAGTGATATTAAATTATGGAGAAAGATTTTAACATCTGCAATTAAAAAAAAAAAGGGTCATTTGTGTTGTGAAAAATGTGGAGCTGTAAAACGTAGTGTGAATGGTTTTATATCTCATATGCAATTTTGTGGAAAATCAGAAGAAGTATGTACAATTTTTTGTAATTATTAAAATTAAAATTTCAAATATCTTAAGATTAAAATAAATGATATCATTTGTGATTGATGCATATCGTAATTTTTAAAAATAATTTTCCTATCAAAATTTATATTAAAACAAAACAAAAATTGAAAAAAAAAATTAATTAAAAAATATATTTATTTATTTTTTAATAACTCAAAATCGATTTTATTAAAGGAATAATTAAAATATATATATATATTATATATATATACTATGTATATAATAATTATAATTATTATAATTGTATTATAATTTTATATACTAGGAAAAAAAAGCTTTGATGGTAACTTGTCCAATTTGTGGTGCTGTTATGATGCCATCTTCTATGGAAATACATGAAAGAACTCACAGATTATCAGAAAAAAATAAAGTAACAGAAGTACAGTTATGTACTAGTGATAATGAAAAAGTAAAACGTAAAGCTGCTGAAAAGTAAGCTAATATATTTGAATTGAAGATTTTTAATAATTTAATGTAAATAAAAATACTAATAATATTCTAATTACAGAGCAGTTTCAAAAATTTTAGAATTTTCTGAATTTTTCAAGGATAACAGTCCACCTCCTGAAAAGAAAATGAAACTTCTGGTATATAATTATTTTATAATATATCTTTATAAAAAAATCTTATTATTAATCTTGTATTATATGAATAATTATATAAAATTAATATTATAGAAAAGTTTAATCAAAATACCCAAACATAAAATGCCTATTCCATCTGTGTGGAAATGCATATGGAAAAAAGAATTATTCTCAGTGGGAGTAACAAATTGTCGTCATGTAGGTTGTACTTATACATGTACTTCTATTGAAGATATATGTAATCATTTTAAAAATTGTAACTTCATTCCTGAAAAGGTATAATAATTATAATAATATTAATTGTTATTTTTATTACAATCAAAACAGTTAAATATGATGATTTTATTACAGTCTTATATATGTAAAATATGTAAATTTTCAAGTATATCTTATGAAGATGCAACAAAGCATGTAACAGCAAAACATATATCAACAGAAGGAATCGATAGATATTCCGATTTTGAAGAAGAAGATTATAATTCAGATGAATGTAAAAATAAATTTTATTGTAATGTAAAATTAAAATTATTAAGTTTCTAAGTTACTAAATTTCATGATTTCTTTTTGAACAGTATTTTTCACGATGAAGTTTTTGGGCAAAGAACAATATCAAAAAATTCGATGGACAGGAACATATTTACCTGCTATACGATGGACTATGGAATTGTAAATAATTATATTTTAGAATTAATATATCTTTTTATATAATATTTATATATTTATTAATAATGTTATTTTTCTTAACAGTGAACAAAAAAATTATGA